GGATTTGAGATATACACGACAGGATTTTCTAGAGAAAGTTTTGTTATTTAATATACATTATGCCGCAATTCTCCAAAATATAGCGATGTTTAGGTATGAAATCGACACATGACCTGATCAAACGCTCTACATAAATTACAACTATGGTCGATAGAAGCCTCTCAGGTGAAGTATTTCGGTCTTGATTTCTTTAGGACATACTGTAAAAGAAAAAAAGTTTGTTAGCGCAGCTCCTGGGGAGCTGAAATGTGGAACTCACGTATACCTTTAGCTTTGTTACCTGACGCATCATCTGTATACTGAAAGACTTCTCGTCAACTATAGTTGTTTTCCTTGAGAATCGATGAAAAGAGCGGGAATTTATTATTTATTTGTATATTAAAAAAATATATTAAAAAAGAAAATATTGTTTTTTCANTTGTTCTTATCATTCTTCTGTTCTGTATGCGACCATTTCACGCAAATAATCGAGAAGAACACCTTTTTGACTGTTTCACTGATTTCTGTGTAGAATCCGCACACGTTATGATCATATTCTTTTCATCAAGATAACTTTTATGGTCTCATTGGAATTCGTTCAAAAATTTGACTTTTTGGCGAGTCAGGCATGAGCATCATCATCAGCTTTGTTGCTCTTTGGATTGAAGATGCTACTATTTAGCCCAAAGTTAAAGTGAAAGAGAAATTATCACAAGGTGAAAAAGCGTATTTCCGTATTTTCAGGTATTTCTACGTTAATACGTAGAAATGCGTAGAAATACTTGGCAATACATAGAGATACGGCCACCTTCCATTGAATTATCATCTTCGATTACTTCTCGTTACTTCTCTCATCACAACGAGTATTTTATTTCTGTCTACATTGTACAGAATTACGAATTAAAAATATTTGGTCACATTTTTTGTCTGTCTGACTTTATCAATATTGAATACACTTAACACTTTTTTTTCACAATAAAAAGTGGAATGTACAGCATTGGGATGTTACTATTGAGATGAATCCTTGTATTTTCATTTGACAGAGAGTGACCTCCAAGCGACATAGATCATCCGAATAGGATGAAGTAATAAGATATGATATTAACAATTCTTTTTGTCTTGTGGGGTTACTACTAATAATGAACAGAGAAAATAAATCTAATGACGCACTCCGAAAGTCGATAGCAAAAGAAGTAAGTCTTACTCATTTGAACAGAAAGTTAAAGACAAAAAGACGATGGTCGACTCTCTCACCGAAGTTACTATTGAACTGACGCGAATCATCGTACCAATAATCATGCTTGTTGGTATGATAGGAAATTCGCTCAACATTGCCGTTCTTACTAGACCTGTTCTGTATTGTCATGCTTGTTCTCGTTATTTTCTGGCCCTTTCTTTCAACAATCTTTTCTACACAAGTGTAATTCTCGTTTATCGTCTTCTGGCTGATGGATACCAGCTTGATCCGACCAAGTCCTCTCTTATCTCGTGCAAGCTCATCACATATATCTATCAAGTGAGTGTACTATTATCGCCATACTTTATTGTACTGGCCTCAATCGATAGATATTGTGGTAGTTCGACGAGTGCCCAGCTACGCAAGTTCAGCAATGTTAAAGTAACTCGATGGACGATTCTGTTCGTCATCATCTTTATAATGCTCTTCTATGTAAATACTGCTGTTCTGATCGATTTACGGCCAACCGACACATTCGGATGTCGTATTCGAGCTGATACTATTTACAAACAAGTGTATCCGATCATGCAAGTTTTCCTGTTTGCTATTATTGCACCTTGTCTTATGGCACTTTTCGGTATCATGACCATCTCCAATACAAAGCAAGTGCGTGTTAATCCTACCGCAGTCTCGCGTCATCGTCGCACAGAAGATCAACTTGTCCGCATGCTTGTCCTTCAAGTGAGCACTCATATTGTACTCGCTGTGCCCACGTGTGTAACCTATCTAGTATTGGTCATGCCGAATACAATTAAAGTTACATCTGGCTTTTACTTTGCTCGCATGATGTCTCAACTTATCTTGTATTGTTCCTTCGCCACGCCCTTCATTTTATACCTCGCGTCGGCTCGAACATATAGAAAAGAACTGATGCAGTTGGTATACACAATACTGCGATTACGTGATGGCAATCTAATTTATCCAACGTCAAACACGATTACAAACACTATTCAAGCAAACAACACAACGGCTCGCACAGGGGCAACGACACGTTATTGAACAGTGTAGTCCATACTTAAATCCCATATCCTGACTAACTTCATTCATGATCATTCAACTGTATGACGATTAGACTGTTATTATGAGAAAAAAATGTATAAAGCATGTTGAATGAAAGTTTACAACATGAAATAGCTATTCATAGTTCATTCATGCTATTGAGTACTAATTCATGTCTTTAATTTCACAAAATAAATATAACCTTTGCATTTTCGATCTTTTTTCTTTTTTCAATACGGAATGAGAACATCAGGGCGTATTATTTTTATGTTATTCTGATTTGTACAGTGGAAGATTCTTGCAATATATGGCTAGAATCATTTGTTAGCGACGTGACGTCGCAAAATTGAAATGCATATATCTCTGAACAATGAGCTTATCTAGAGCTGATTTTTTATATGCTGTACGTATTTTAGGTTGCTCTAGATACCCTGAGAAAAAAAGTCCTAAAGATCCCTGCTCGTCAGAGTTTTGATTAAAAACCCAGCGTTAGCGACGTGACTGAAAAAAGAACATCGATTGTTACTTCACGTGTTTCAGTTTTTAAAAACTCCCAATTCATGCACAATTTTAAGAAACTAAATACGGCATAGCGTACATGACTTCTGAGGCTATTAAACTTATACGCAAAATTTCTTCTGAACATGCATAGATTTAAAAAAAACATTTTATTCGTCGTTAGCGACGTGACGCAATACTACCGCACAACCGAGAGAGCGCTCTTGTAACCAACTGAAAAGTTCCAAATCGACTTCAAACGTTACAAATTGCCGCTCGGAGTCCTTAGATGATGATAAGACAAAAGTTTCCGCTTTTACAATTTTTAGGGTCTCTAGAAAACCCAGGTTTTGGAAGAAATATTTTGGAGTCCAATCTTGCTGAAAATTTCATCACAGATGCAGATCGTGTTCTAGAGTCTATTCTGGAGTTTTCAGATTTTTTTCTCATTTGGTTAACCAGACATTTGCTAATTACTTTTTAATTAATTAATTTATTTATTTATTCATTTTAATTATTAATCACGTGAAAGAGGAAACATTTTCACATAAGCCTATACTAAAAGAATTTATCCAATAAATTGACTATTATAGAGAATAAAACTCAAATGAAAGGTGTAAATGTCCTATTCAGCCTGATTTTACCCATATGTGAATATGTCACATACTGTCTTTTCCCGATTTACTGAGGAAATTGATTGTTAATTTTATGGTGGTAACTAGCCGGAAAAATTCCGTAACATCTTCGAAATACCGGAATACAGTTTCGTGTAAGTGCTGTTAATTCAAAATTTGGCCAGAACAAGGAAACCTTTTATTGACCCATGGTTGAATAGAACTAGCAAAACTGCATAGGGAAATATGGTTCTATTAATTAAAAAGGGTGTGTGTGGCTGTAGGTATGGTAAAGGTCCACTGTTTATCTACACTAAGCCACCCACACCCAATAACTCATGATTCTAACTTTCTTGCTAGTAGAAACAAAATTGAATTCTCTACAAACTCCTATTAACTTTAATTTAAAGCAATGCAACAAAAATAATGTCTAGACTGCGCTATGCAATTCACTGAATCGTATTTCTGTCGCACACAAACTGTTTTCGTATTTTCAGGATTCTTTTCAAATACTAAGCTGGCATTTAAAAGGTTTAGCACTTGTAATCAAACTTCACATCAAATGCGCTTTCACAATTGCCTATAAGTGTTTGATGAGTATCTACATTTACTTAACAGAAATCGTTTGTCTGAGCGCCTACAACAAAAACAGCCTTTTTGTTTTAGTATTCGAATTTTTCCAGCTAGTTTGTTTTATAAAGCGTTATTTGGGTTTCAAGTAAGAAGACAAATAAATTCTCTACAAAATTCTTAAAAAAATAAACTTGATCTGATCATAGGTGGCATTTGAAGTGTACTTGTTTTGAAAACGAACAATCCAATGTAGAAAACATTGCTTTTCTCAAAATATCACTTGTTCTATAATCAAAAGAATGTGTATTGAAAAACATCGTACTATATATAATCGATGGAGCATTTCGAGTATAATCTAGCAGTGCATTATAATTTGAAAACTAAATGTTCTCTTACACTAAAAATACATTAATAAAAAATTGTTTGAGACGTAAATACAATTCAATGAATTACATAACGCAGCCGAGAAATTCTTTGTGTTCCACCGCTTTCAATTAGAGTTAATAGGAGTTTGTAGAGGATTAAATTCTGTTTCTACTGGCAAGAAAGTTAGGATCATGTATTATTTCTTCGCTCGAATATCTACTAAAATGAATGTCGCAAAACTTGATACACCCGATAGAAAGAATTTTGTTAAAGCCTTCTAGTGTATAATATAGCGCTAAAAACATGGTTTTTAGACCGTCCTCAGTAAATAGTTATTAAGTCAAAAGTGAAAGTCAATTATTCGAGTCGTGTACAAGCAGTGAGAAAGAGTCGTATTGTGTTTGTAGCAGCTGGTTCAAGGATATCGACATCAATGCGAATTATGTAGGTACCATTTGGTAAGCGTGTTCCTCCTGGTTGTACGTGGACAACTTTTTGCTATATTTGCTCCAAGGAATTGGATGTCTGGCTAAGAACAACACCTGTTGGACTAGTCAATTTGAGTGAGACTTGATGGCGAATAGTATACGTGGTTGATTCTGGCCATCATACGACTACATACATTCTCTGTGAACCATACCAGCCCGATTCTGATTCAATGGTGAATGAATTTTCAATGTATTGATTAGCAGCTAATGTTTGCCACATAAACGCACACTGTTGCCAACCTAAATTTAGAAAACCTGTACCGGTAGTATTTGTAGATTACCGGTAAGTGCAATAAGCCAAGAATAGTTAAGATCTGGCTGAGGATTTAACACACCGTAGTAGTTGAGTTGTTTTTTGAGAAGGTAAGTAGCACCAGTAACGATAGGTGTGGAAATCGATGCTCCATCGACTGTCGAAAAATCATTGTTTGTTACATCATTATTCGCTGGACACCAACTTCCAAATCCTTCACATCCATTGTAAGCTGTGGTGATACCAGATGGGACTTGGAGTTCCGGCTTGATATGACCATCAGGTGTAGGTTCAGAAGCTTCATATGAGACTGTATTGACTATATTGAGCAAATCAATTGCACCGACCGTCAACATCTTGCTTGAGTGAGCAGGCGCTTTGATTTGACCCAGTGTAGCATCCTTACCTGACGCAAGAAACAATGTGGTACCCAAATCATAGACAGCGTCTATCGCATAGGTAACATCGCATTGAGACGGCAAAAAGGCAATTTATGTAGGGAGATAAGTTAATAATTCGATTGTCATTGGTCAGAGCCGCCTGAATGGCAGTTACCACCCCATGTACTGTAGATGTTCGAGGTACATGTCGTACTACCTGGTGAATGCTCCGTTTGAGATACTTTGTACGAGTTTAACGGGTGGATCGAAAGTTTTCGCACAAAATGTTTATTTATATCTGACCCACTTGAAAATATTTCAGACGAGTCGAAAACTATGGATTAAAACCAGAATTTTGTGCTATTTCTGAATATGAGCTTGGAAATTTTTTGTCAGTTTTTGTTCGAGAGTA